ACTTACCAGTTTTCATGATTTATAAAAATGATCAAAACATTACAAAAGAAATTACAATTAAGAAAAAAACAATAAACACGTCAAAAAAAGCAATGGACAAATAAAAAGATGATTTACATAAACAAAGCTGGAAAGACGTGTATGTTGATGATGTGAACAGATCATATGATGAGTTTATGAATATTTTGGGAGCTCTGTATGAAAAGAATTGTGTGCAAAATAATTGTACAAAGAGAAATGTTGTTGACCAACCATGGATGACGAAAGGGTTGAGAAATGCTTGTAAAAAAAATAATTATTTGTATACATGTTTCTTGAAATTGAGAAAACAAGAGGCTGAAGAGAAATATAAGAAGTATAAAAATAAATTAGTAGCGATTATAAGGAAACACAAGAAGGAATATTATAGTGATTTATTAAATAAAAGTAATGGTGATATGAAAGCTACATGGCGAGTAATAAATAGTGTTCTGAAAAGTCATAAAGCAAAAACAGGTATTTCACAATATTTTTTGAAGGATGACGATGAAATCCATGATGAAAATGAAATTGTAAATGGATTTAATCATAATTTTGTGAACGTTGGATCAAGTCTTGCAACTAAAATACCAAAAGTAGACAATAATGTGAACCATTCAGTTATAAGTTGTGACAACAGTATTTTTCTTAATGGAACTGACAAAGAAGAAATAATGAACGTTGTAAAAAATCTTACAGATAAGAGATCAAAAGACTGGGTGGACATGGATATGATGTTTGTAAAGGACATAATGAGTTATGTTATCGAGCCGTTTACATATATTTGTAATTTATCATTTTCAAAAGGAATATTTCCAGACAATATGAAAGTAGCTAAGGTAGTTCCTCTCTTTAAAAATGGTGATAAATGTGTGTTCAATAATTATAGACCAATATCCTTATTACCACAGTTCTCAAAAATTCTAGAAAAACTATTTGTGACCAGATTAGATAAATTTATTACTAAACAAAACATTCTAAGTAGCAGTCAGTATGGGTTTAGAGCAAAAAACTCTACATCAATGGCTCTCATGGAAATAATCGAACAAATAACTACTGCTGTCGATCAAAAACAGTATTGTGTTAGTAT